TTACATTTCTATGGCCTGAGGGACTCAAGGCCCAAGGTAAGAGTCCTTTAGAGCCGTGATTGGCAAACTGCGGCTCGAGAGCCACATGCGGCTCTTTGGCCCCTTGAGTGTGGCTCTTCCACAAAACACTATGACCTGGACGAGTTAATTTGGAAGTGGCGATAGAAGAAGTTGAAGTTTAAAAAATTTGGCTCTCAAAAGAAATTTTAATCGTTGTACTGTTGACATTTGGCTAATAACTTTGTTGACCACTGCTTTAGAGCATTTCCCATGATTTGTCCAAGTACATGGAGTTCCTTAGCAGGTGTGCTGTTCTGAAGCACAACGGGTCACCTAAAATATCCCTCGGGCCCTGGCTGCTCCACATTCTAAAGCGCATATTTCAAGACCCCGTGCAAATGTCACATCCTCATCCAAGCATTTGCGAAGCTTTCTGCATTCAATGAGCCACTTCTCTGTCGCCAGGGCACTTTCCCCACACCCATGTGGCAAAAGCACCGAACCCACATGGCCCTCCTTTTCTGTTTACATGTCTGTGCCCCTGTGGGCATCAGCTTCTTGTGAGCACTGACTATGCCTTGTGCTTCTCCAATATGTCTCCATATTGGCGAGGTGAGCAAATCTCAAACCCCAGTGTTATGATGGCTTCTGTAGGAATTGGGGAGCTTTTCTGGGCTCTCCATTTGAGCAACAGGACTTGGGGTTCCAGTTGCTCCACAACTAAGCAATGGCATAGTCCTCCTGGTCTCTCCCTGCATCTCCTTGCCCAACACAGCCATGTGGGAACAGCCTTTCACTCCATGGCTTTGGAGAGCTGACATATAGGAACCCACAGGAACATTACGTAGAAATCCCTCACATCTTAATAGCACTCAGGTTACAAGGCTCTGGCCAGGTACCCTCTCCTCTGGAATCCTCACTAGAGACCCGGGAGGAAGGGGTTGCTTAGCCTAACCCAGCGTCTGGCCTGGGGCGGAGGATGAATAGTTACTGGTGACGGAAGGAGGGTGTTATAAAAGCAGAGTCTGTCGGGTGGTGGTAAAAACCCAACTTCAATGATTAGGGCTCACTGGGAAGAAGGAAAAAGGCCAGGCCCCGTGCTTTGGCGCCTCTCACCTGACCGATGAAGAGTAGACATTTGGGTAATGAATTCACATTGCGGCTGAAAGACTCCGTGAACTTGCAGGATGACCGGAAGCCTTTTGTCTTCCGCACATCTCTTGTGTGCTACCTGGTTTCCCCTAAATTATCTGAGGAAGTATGGGGGTGCCCGACTGCTTTTATACTCTGCATCTCCCCGCGGTGTTCTTGCTTACTCGAGATCATACACTTTCCCGTGAAGCGTTTGAACGTCTTGAGTCAAGAAAGTGAATTTCCTGAGTGTAGCGAACACCTACGTGGTGACATTCACACAGGCAGGCTCTATGATCGTATCTGCTTCTTTCTGAGGGTGATGGTGCAGGGCCGTTCTCACTCCTGACACCGAGACCCAATGGCTCTGCCCCGGGGCCTTTCCCTGTCATGGGATTGGAGAGGGACAGTGGGTTCCCTCTGGGGCAGCACCAAACGGTGGGTAGAAGTGGCACTTCCATGCCAGCGGCGCCTGGCTCCTTTCTCAGAGATGAACAGCAGAGGCTCAGAAGGCAAAGCCATTTGTGCCAGGAGTAGCTGATGGCCAGCTACCTGCAAAGCGCTTGGGTAGGTACTGCCAAGGGTACGACATGGGTGAACGCCATGGAGGAAAATGATTGGCGATGATGTTGAGGGACACTGTCTAACAAGACAAGTAATGGAGATGCTGGTGAGAGTTCTCTAGGCCACTAAGGAGAGGTCTTACTATTTGATCCTAAAGATCTTGAGGTTGAAAAAAATTTTTCCATTATCTTGTGATTGAACCCAGTACCTTGAGCCATTGCTTACAGACAGAGGAGCGTATTATCAGATGTTCAAGTGTCTTTCCAGTTTGACAGTGATTACAATAAATCACATGACTTCCTTGACACTGTTCACCTCAAACAAACACTACATAAGGCTAAGTGTATGTTCTCTAAAAATCAATGCCTCCGAGAAATATAATGTCCAACTTTCCAATTGGATTAGGAAATGCCGAGGAGGAAACAAAACACTTCAAAATCAAAACTTTCCGTGTGTAGCTAAGAAAACATCTTGTACCTTAGATTTCACAGCCCGTGGGCTTAGCTCCCTGTCGGAATAAAGAGATGTTCGGAACAAACATCTCCTCACTGTCCCTCCTCTCACCTCTCATTTGGGTGGATTTTATTTATGCATTAGACGACCTTTTTTGGACATTAGAGCCATCTTGCTTCGGCAGTTAATTAACACAAGTACCATAATTTAATACAGTTAATGCTACTTGATGTCCTTTAATGTACCTTCCATTAGTGATATTATTGTAGTATTACCCTGTAAATTAAAACGAGATCAGGACGGAGAGAGGCACTCTTTAATTAAGGTGCTGGCACACCGCGCCCGTCTATTACTCATTAGGGAAAAGCAGCCTGATTTACGGAAGGAGGACATCCATAAGTCAGAATTAGTCCCTGGAGATCGCCAGCAGCCAGCTTCTGGCTCTGCGATGGGACTCAGCGCACAGCTAGAGGGAGGAAACGGCGGCGGAAGAAGCGTGTAGCCAAAGAGGGCCACGATGCTTACGATGGGACCTTAGGTTTTGTCACCAGTAGAATAGGTCTCAGGTGAGTCACACGCTGCAAAGAACCTAAATGTGACCTTCGTCTTATGACCATCAAAAAATCATTTTTTTTTTTACACCAAACGATACCCGCCAGGATGAAACATAACCACCAAGTGCATTTGGGCACAAGAAATAAAGACCTGGAGCTCATGGCCAGCCAACTTCAAGATCTCCCTCCTGCTCTTGTTGCCTCACTTAACATTTCAAGGTAAAAAAAAAAAAAATCTTGTATTCTCTGCCCACTATTCTGTGGCCATTTCCCTAACCCACGCCAGTTCCCACATTATTTGTGGAGTGACAGGCAAAAAAAATATCATTAGAATGGTCATAAACAGACATGGAAAGACACATTAAATGTCGCGATCATATCATGAACGGAGAAAGGAGGAGCGATGGAAACAACTCATTGGGGAAGTTTCCGTTGATGATATTCTTGAAAAGGAACCTTCAGAACTTTCTTTTCTAGATCGTCAATCTCCCTGCAGGGAACTGTTAGACGGCATGCTGAGGAAAAGACAGACGAGGCCACACCGTTCAAGGGTGAAACGTCTATCAGCTTCTAGGCTGACAGACCTGCCATCCGGGCTGCCGTTCCCTCGCGTGGCTCCACGTTCCTTACATAACTTAGGAGCTGGAGACACGCCCGCACCACGGGCCTTACTTCTGGAGTCCCTCCCCCAAGACTAAAAATACCCTGGCCATCTGGCGCCTGGCACAGCACGCGCCAACATCGGCTTTGCCCTGAGGAATTTGGACAGGAGTTTGGAGGTGACAGAAGGGGACCCGATGGGAGGGGCTCACCTCTATTGCACCTTTGTCTCCTGCCCAGCTGCTTCCTCACCAGCTTACAGGTGACTGGTGAACAGGAAAAGGAAGTGGGTGAGTCCCCGTGAAGGGAGGGGGGTCCTCCAAACTCCTTGGAACCATGGCAGTGTGTTGGAGGGTACCACCAGGGTGAGGGGTAAAAGGAAAGTAGTAAATCTGGTGGGATTTTGCCTGGCCTGTGACACACCTGAGAACAAGGTTCAATTCCTGGTAAGGGCATATACCTGGGTTGCAGGCTCAATGGGGGTCCTGGTTATAATGATGGAATCTTCCCATGTAAACATACTCAACGTTCTTGGTAAATTGCTCAATTGCTCAATTGTGTATCAGATATATTATCAAAAACTAAGGCCGTGGTTGGCAAACTGCGGCTCTCGAGCCACATGGAGCTCTTTGGCCCCTTGAGTGTGGCTCTTCCACAAAATACCACGGCCTGGGCAAGTCTATTTTGAAGAAGTGGCGTTAGAAGAAGTTCAAGTTTATAAAATTTGGCTCTCAAAAGAAATTTCAATCGTTGTCATGTTGATATTTGGCTCCGTTGACGAATGAATTTGCAGACCACTGCCCTAAGGTATGCCTGACCGTGTCAGATACTGCTTAAACTCTTCCACCTGTGCCTGCCCCACAGCAAGAAGAGAGCCTGACTCAGAGCCATATGGCAGCATATCTTTTTAAGACCATAGCATCAAAAAACAAACAAACAAACAAACAAAAAAACACACAAAAAAAACAAAAAACAAAAAACGGAAAAAACACAGCTTGCCCCTTTTAAACAAATGTGTTGTTTTCCCTAAATGCGTTTGGCTCTGATTGAACTCATTTAAAGAAATACAGCTTCCGTTTCAGAGATGTTTGCGCCAGAGAACAAAACCACAGAGAAGCCTGCCCTGGGGAAGGCCCTCACTTGCGTTAAGAAACAACAGGAAGATGTATGGCCGGTTTGCCAGTCCCCGTTCTAAGACGCGCTTCTCCCCATTTGCTTAAATTCTATGCAATCTGCCAAAACCGGTTTGGCTCAGTGGACAGAGCGTCAGCCTGAGGACTGAAGGGTCCTGGGTTTGATTCCTGTCAAGGGCATGTACCTTGGTTGCGGGCATATCCCCAGTAGGAGGTGTGCAAGAGGCAGCTGATGGATGATTCGTTCTCATCGATGTTTCTAACTCTCTATCCCTCTCCCTTTCTCTCTGTAAAAAATCAATAAAATATATATTTAAAAAAATTCTACGCGATCCTGCCAGGTTCTGGCCTACAGTCAGCAATTCTGGACACAGGAATCACTGCTGAGTGAGAAGGGTCTCAGGTGCCTCAGGACCGACCCCCAGGCTGGGGCCCCTGAGAATCGGCTGCGGTAGAAACTGACAAACATCCTCCAGGTGCAAGAACAACCCCTTCCCCTGCCCCCTGCACCCCTAATTTCCTGTGAACACACCCGGCCCCCCTCTGGGGAGGGATGCTCTCTCACCTGCCGTGCACCTTGATGTCCGAGATGGCGTAGAAGTAGCGCGTCAGGTGCAGCTCGTCCACGAAGATCTCCCCGACGGCCGGCCGCAGCAGCCGGATCCTCAGGTCTGTGACCGTGAAGAAGTCCCGGAGCTTCTTGGTGGTGTCCAGCTGGCCGTAGAGGGAGGCCATGTTGCGCAGCCAGGGCCCGGCGAAGAAGGCGAACCGGTCCTTGATCTCGAAGTGGATGATCTTGCTGTTGGTGGTGTAGCCCGTGGAGTACTCCTCGGTGCAGATGATCTCCAGCACCGTGTGCTGCGACAGGTCCTTCACGGACTTGGGGTCCATGTGGAAGGCGTCCAGGCAGTCCGTGGCGTAGTACTGGTAGGGCTGCCAGGTGCGCCCGTAGTCCAGGGACTTCTCCAGGATCATCTGGTCCGGCCGCCCCGACTCGAAGGTGATGACGATGTTGTCCGTGAGCTCGATGGTCTTGCTCCAGGACAGGGTGATGTTCACCTGCAGGGGCTTGGGGTAGTCCTTCCAGGTGGCCGACTGCCAGAAGGTGGACGGGTGCCTCCCCTCGAAGTCGAACATCAGCTCCGGGGGGTGCGCCAGCTCCGGGGTGCTGGCGTCGCACTCATTGTTGCACATGTAGGGGTTGCCCTGGGGAAGAAGAACACAGAGGGGGCGTCACACACGGGCTGGGCACAGGTAGGCCATCCTCCTCCTGCTAAGAGGCCGGGAGAGGAAGGAAGGAAGGAAGGAAGGAAGGAAGGAAGGAAGGAAGGAAGGAAGGAAGGAAGGGAGGGAGGGAGGGAGGGAAGGAGGGAGGGAGGGAGGGAGGGAAGATGGAAGGGAGGGAGGGATGGAGGGAGGAAGGGAAGATGGAAGGGAGGGAGGGAGGGAGGGAGGATGGAAGGGAGGGAGGGAGGGAGGGAGGGAGGATGGAAGGAAGGAGGGAGGAAGGAAGGAAGGAAGGAAGGAAAGAAGGGAGGGAGGGAAGGAGGAAGGAAGGATGGAAAGAAGGAAGGAAGAAAGGAAGGATGGAAGGGAGGGAGGAAGGAAAGAAGGGAGGAAGGGAGGAAGGGAAGAAGGAAGGGAGGGAGGAAGGGAGGGAGAAAAGCAAGAAAGAAAAGGAGAAAGAAAAGAAGGAAGAAAATAACCTGTTTGCATTCTTTTTTTTTTTTTTTTTTAGTATCTTTTTAATTTGAGAGAGGAAGGGAGATGGGGAGAGAGAAACACATATGATGAGAGAGAATCATGGATCGGCTGCCTCCTGCACTCCCCACCCTGGGAATCAAGCTGTAACCCGGGCACGTGCCCTGACCAGGAACTGAACTGTGTCCTCTAACTGTGACCTCCTGGTTCATAGGTTGACACTCAGCCACTGAGCCATGCCAGTTGGGTGGCAGTAATCATTGTTATTTGCCCTAACTGGAGTCTCCTATTTGATTGCCTGGAAAAAAAAAAAAAAAAGCTAATTTTCTTGCCTGGCTTCTTTCCAGGGGTACCAGGAAGTGGAAATGGTTTACATATCACGTAAGGGTCCCAGAAGCACCCGAGACACTGAGCGGCTGTCTGCCGGCCGGCCCCAAACCGCCGCGGCCACTCCCAGAGGCTTCTGGAAAAGCAGGGAGATTCCTCCAAGCCTCCAGCACCTGCCTCCGGAGCCCTGTGCCTCAAACAGCCAGGTTCCTGGTGGAGCTCTGGAAAGAGCAATGCACCACAGACACCTGCGTCCTGATTGGGCAGCCACACCCCGGGGGACACTCGCGGTCTATCCGCGTGGCCTCCAATCCATCATCCTTAGCGGGGTCCCCGCTCTGCAGAGCCCGCGATGAGAGCATTTACTTTGCTGGCCACAGATCATTAGAACGCGGGCTGCTCCGGGCTCTGGGACCTGGCCCACACATCTGTTGCCCCATTGGCCAGAGGCCGGGGGGTCTCTCAAGAACAAGGGGCGGGCCTGTGCTTCGACATATCAGACCAGCACATGCCAGTACTTAACTGGGAGGCTGTTGCAAAGAGCCAGAGGACCACTGCTATGCGCCCTGGGCCGGCCACCGTCAGCTGCCCATGGACGTGAATCGCTCCCATTGCTCTCCGCCTCACCAAGGCCCCTTCCCTCTATCAAACTAGAGGCTGAGCAGGCCCCTCCATGGCCACAGGTGCTAAACCCTCTCTGCTGCCCCCATGGCTGCTCTCGGCCCTCCCCTGCAGCCTCTCAGACAATCCACAGGCTTCCTGATTGCTGTTCACCTTGTGTCCAAGCAAACAAGGGGTGTCCTTGGCATCCAGCCCTGCAGGTGTTTTCGCCTGAGCCAGACCCGGAGAATGCTAAGCAGGGGCGGGAGGGAGAATCGCCCCGGGACCCTGCCCCAGGCCTCCTCTGGGGATTGCAATTAGGTTCTCTTTATTCCCCTTTTGTCACCATCAGACCTGCGGGCTGCAGGAGCCTGGTCTCACATGGTGAATTTCCAATCCAGACGTGGAGGCTCGGTTTCCGCTGACGCTGGTGAAATGTGAGGGGGGCATCGGAGACCCGCCCCGGCCCCAGAGGCCGCCTCTCCCACCCCGTCAGCGACTCCTGCCCCTCGCTTTCCCCATTAACGCAACCCGATCCCCACACCGCCACAGGTGCTGGACCCTGTGCATGCCGAGCCAGGGCAGGGGGAAGGGGAGAGGGCGGTGATGGGGGGACGGGACTGTTGCAGAGATACAGGCTGGGCACCCGAGATAATGGAGATGTTGCTGTACCTCCCTCTCGCGTTTCAATCCCCCCCCCCACCTCCTGATCCTGGCGTCTGCGGCGCTATTTATAGGGTCCCCTTCAGAACGAGCCAGGAGGGGAGGATACGTTTCTGTTCCAGGTGGAATAAATCACCAAATTTATTATTATTTAAACTCTCTTCAGCAGCCCGGGGAGCCAAATGCAAAACTCCGCGAAGCAGGCGCGGGCTTTTTTATGGAGGGCTATAAATACGGCGGAATCCGTCGGGATTTATAAATCCTAAATGCACAGAAATGCAGGTTGGACTGGAAGGGGTCAGATTTACACAGATCGCACCTTCCTGTGAGATGCGCTGAGACAAACACAGTCCCTACCGAACCCAGTGGCCCGCAGCCATCTGCACCATCATCAGCCTGGATGCCGCCCCCTCCTCCTGACACAGGTGGCTCCCTGGAGGTCACTGGCCGTGGTCGGCAAACTGCGGCTCGCAAGCCACAGGCGACTCTTTGGCCCCTTGAGTGTGGCTCTTCCACAAAACACCACGGCCTGGGCGAGTCTGTTTGGAAGAAGTGGCGTTAGAAGAAGTTGAAGTTGAAAAAATGTGGCTCTCCAAAGAAATGTCAACCGTTGTCCTGTGGATATTTGGCTCTGTGGACTAATGAGTTTGCCGACCCCTGGCCTAGGGGATGGGACACAGGATCGCGACTCAGCAGGGTGTTCTGAGGGAGCCCCATGCAGAATTTCCTCGACTTCAGCAGAGATTTCTCAGGGGGCCAGAGGGCGCCAGGCAGAGTGGTTTGGGAACGGGTCCATGCCAGCACCCCGGGCTTAGGAAACACCCACGAAGATGTCGGTCTAAATAGCATGCATTCCCATAGCCACTCAAAGGCGTCGCAGACTGTCACCGGGGAGGTAGCATGTGAGGGCCAGGCGCTTCACCTGCACTATCCTGGGTCATCCTTTCCAGCCCCGCCTTACACAACAGGAAACTGAGACACAGGGGTGACGGGGAAAGTGCCGAAGGTCACACAGCGAGGTCAGGGAGGTGGCAGAGCCGGCCCCCCTTCTCCTGCCCCTGCCCTGCTGGTCTGTTTAACTCCCAATGGACTTCCCATGATGCAACCGAGCCTTGGAGGAGGGCGGCCGGTACGAAGAAGGGTCTGAGGTCCAAGGAGTGTGGGGAATACAGCCTCACATAGTCTTGCGTTCGAGAGCTCTAATGAGCGTGATCACATGTGAAGATAAACTTTCTTTTTACTTATTTTTAAAAAATATTTTATTGATTTTTTTTTTTTTATAGAAAAAAAGGGAGAGGGATAGGAAGTTAGAAACATCAATGAGAGAGAAACATCAACCAACTGCTCCCTCTCCCCTAGCACCCCCCCCCCCCCCCGGGGATGTGTCCACAACCAAGGTACATGCCCTTGACCGGAATAGAACCTGGGACCTTTCAGTCCACAGGCCAACGCTCTATCCACTGAGCCAAACTGGCTTTGGCAAAGTTAAACTTTCTTTAGCTTCTTGTGATACTTAGTTCCAGAAGCTCATCAGACCATGGACCCCCTGTTTGTTTTAGGAGCCCCTGCTTCTATAGCCCATAGCTAGTGCACTGAAGAGCATCCTTGGAGAGTCTCTGCTCTGTATGACTCTTCTTATACATACCTACCTACCTACCTACCTACATACATACATATATTTATTGATTTCAGAGAGGAAGGGAGAGGAAGAGAGAGATAGAAACATCAATGATGAGAGAGAATCGTTGATCAGCTGCCTTCTGCACACCCCATACTGGGGATCGAGCCCACAACCCAGGCATGTGTCCTGACTGGGAATTGAACCGTGTCCACGCTCAACCACTGAGCCACACCGGCTGGGCTATACTGCTCTTAAAATGGTAAACAGGTGGATGCCACACAGGCACCGCACAACCCAAAGCCTGAGCCCTTCATTGAAGACACCCAGCCTCTGCTTCTGACCACAGGGCCATCCGCTGGGGCCTGGCAGGATGTGGGCTCAGGATAAACGCGCACATCCCCATCCCGCTGTCAGCCATCAAGACGCCTGCCGGGGCAAGGAGAACAGGTGCCTGCTCTGTACTGATCTGTGCTTTCGGCACCAAAAGCAAATGAGAAGAGCTTCATGCATTCGCTAAATGTCTGCTGTATTTGATAATCAGTGATTGCCTGTGATGTCACTATCGTTAAGGCCCTTGTCTTGGCTCCGGAGACACAGCAGTGAACATATCTGAGTCCTTGCTTTTGGCAGTGCGTCTCTCTTTGTTGTGGGGGGTGGGGAGATGCACCAAGGAAACAAATGTATAAAGTTTTAACACTTTATGTGCTCTGGGGAAGAAGGCAGCCTACTGCAGGGGGGAAGGGCAGTGGAAGAGGGATTCTGATGGGATTTTCCATTGGGAGGTCCCGGAAAGTCTCTCCTGGGTCATGTGACCTTTGAGCAGATTCAGAACAATCCCCCAGTTGACACTGGAGGTGATCAGAGGTTGACCAGAAGGACCATTTTGTCCTTCATCTACTTCTCTCTCCTTCATGGTAATGTTAACAGAACAGCAATTTATTGAAATTGATGGGTAGACAAATCATTTCACATGAGAGTTTAAACCAAATAACTGTAGATACCAAAATAAATAAATAAATCAATAAACAAAAACAAAAAGAAAAAGAAATCAATAGACCTGTTCTTGTTTCCTACTCTTTTTAGGAGATTAATGATTTGCTGGCCATTAACATAATGGCTGAGAGTCAATGACATTGTGAAAAAATTAGCAGGATTAAAAATATATATATTATTCTGGCCCACTGAGAAGAAAGCTCACATTTTAGATGATAAAGAAAGAAAAGAAGAAGGCCAGAGGGCTGAACATGTTACCATTCTATAGGAAAAGAGAGCTAGGGGAGAGATTTTTTATCCT